TCAAGATATTTTGCATGTGTGTAATATGCAGTTAGTATATCTGACGCTGTAATGTACAGATGTCACCTAAAGGTCTCACATTCATCAGTAGACGCTATTACTGTGCACAGAGAAACCTCTAGTCTCCTCTATGAAGTGCAGAATTAGTTTATAAAGAGTGAATTAAGGTGCTCTAATCTCAGATTTACCTCAGTTGATACCAGGTGATTCAGAGGCAGACGGACAAACCTGCTGAGTGTGAAAAACAAAAATGTTTAGTTTCACGTGACAGATTTTTTTGTTTGCCTTTTTTCTGGAGCTGCAGGTGCAGTAAGGTGACTATTCACAGAGAAGCCTCTGGTCTCCGCTCAGTTACTGCAGCTCAGACAGATGTGTGACCAAAAGTTGAAGTAAAATAAAACACTCTGATGGCAGATTTACCAACCGAGTGAGTTTATCTACACGTGTCGACTGACCAGAGACACACAGACCGATCTGCTGGAGCACTGGTGTGACCGATAAAAAGGTTTAACTTGTGAAGCCTCTCGTCTCCGCTCACGAAAAAGATGCTCTCATACACACAAAAACCCCCCACTAATTTATCTACCTGAGACGGTCACGGACAGACACATCTTTTAGTGTATAGTAAGCAGTTTGTAATTTTTCTGAAGCTACAATATCCAGACGCCCCCTAAATGCCTCACATGGATCAGTAGAAGCTTCTACTCTCCACTCAGGTACTGCAGCCCCGAGACTCAGACAAATACAACATCAAAAACTAGTTTGAAAAGAGTGAACTAGGCTGTTCTAATGTCAGATTAATCAGAGTTCACACTAATTTTATCTACCTGAGACGGACAGAGAAAGACTTCAGGAGCGCTTGATGGAGTTTTAGCTGCACTATGTAGCCTTTTAAACATGACACTTGTTTTCTTTTTAAACATACAGCAATGCAGTTTGTAATTTTTCTGAAGCTCCAATTTCCAGATGTCCCCTAAATGCCTCACACAGAGAAGCCTCTAGTCTCGACTCAGGCAGATTACTGGTTTGATAGAAGAGTGAATGAACCAGATTTGATGGAGGTAAATTGAGGTTATTTAACGGAAAAGATTTTTTTTTTTTGTAGGTTTTTGCTCAGTGATACCTTTTATTCCACTCCCACCGGTTTAAAAATGACAATCCACACAAAAAGCAGCAGTTTGTTTACTTCTGCCCACAGCTCCGTCCGACCGCCTCAAGTTTGAATCTCTCAATTATTTGGCCTCTGACTTTTTTGCCGCTCGTGAAAAGACAAACCTGCGACCCGCCGCCTCCGTCTGAATCACCTTCGTCCGTCCTCCGTCCCTCGTCGACAGTCAATCAAGTCACTTTTACCCCCCGGCGGGGACGCGTGAAGCAGATCAGAGCGGAGATATGCAGCAGAAATTTAGAGGTGATGTATCATCAGTCTCTTTTTTTTTCCCTTCCTCTCAGCGTGAGAAGAAGCCTCGTTAGCATTCATGTGTAGCCTCCGCGGTCTGTGGCACGTAGCGGCGTCCTCCATTATTGAGCAGTCGTAAACGCTTTGAAGTTGTGCTGTTTGGGGAGTTTTTTTTTTTTTTTGTTCCTAAACAGAGTTGCGGCGGCGGCAGCGACACGAGGCTTTGAAAAGGCAGAAATCTCAACTAGTTATTGTGTCATATTGATCCTCGTTTTTCCTCATGTGGTTTTTTTCCTCTCACACGGTTGCAGCTCGTGTGCTCATTCCTCCGAGCGGGAAAAAAAAAGGCAGAGCTGCAGCGGCGTCATTGAAAACGAGGTCAAGGTGACAGAGGATCTAATTGACGCCGAGCTCGACCCCTTCAGGTTCCCCCGGGACACTCCGCCACATGGCTTCACCGCCGGCTGCTCATTAGCATTTGACCGCGTGGGCAAAAAAAATAAAAAATGCTGCGGCTTCATCTAATGGCGGGAATACGGTCGGGATGTAATTTAATTAATGTGCGAGTCTGTGGTCAGATAACATTAAAACAATTTCACAGCGGCATCGGAATCAAAGTGGTCTGGAAAAATACTTAAAAAAAAGAGAGAGAGGGGGCTAGTTAGCGGCTGGTTTATCTTCGACGGTGATAGGGAGCATATTTCTGGGAGTCTTTAGATTAATGCAGCTCAGTGGAAGGACGGATTTAATGCGCGGAAACGTACGGCGGACGCGTTCAGTGTGAATAAATCTGCATAATAATTCACAAGTGAGACGAAGATTCATCAGGATTCGGTTCCGCTGAACGAACTCGGAACAGCCGTGAAGTTGATTCCTGAAGAAGTGAGAACACCAGAGCCCACGTCAGCTGCATTGTGGGTAACGGCGGCGCCAAGGTTCTGGTTCTTTAACTGCACACTGTGGGTTGTAGGAGTTCAACACCAAGACACGCACAGATGAGTTTGATTACCGTAAATTCCAGACTATTGAGCACCTGAACATGAGCCACACCCACTGACTGAAAACTAGTTTTGTACATATACAGGCTGCACTTGTCTATAAGCTGCAGGTGTCCACGATGTAACATGAGATATTTACACAGAAAGATTGTTTAACTTTTAATTCAATACATACTGGTAACATACACAAATACGTAGATGCTTTTTTCTGAACAGTGCCTGTAACACGGCTGGTTAGGAAAAGAAGAAATACAGCAGCCTACCAGGAGAAGTCTTTGATCGCTATCTTCATCTTCCTCCTGCACTAAAACCACTAAAGTCGTCTTCAGTATAACTTGGTCACACACTTCCTCAGTCTCTCTTTCGTTGTCGCTCTCAGTGTCACTTTCGTCTCGAGGCAAATTCGTAAAAATCCATAAATTAGCTGCATCATTGTTTAAGCTGCAGTGTTCAAAGCGTGTGAATAAGTAGTGACTTATAGTCCAGACATTACGGTACTTGGTCGAATCCAGCAAAGACGTTTCTTAACACAGCCTTATTAGCCTAAATTAATTCTAAATATACATAAAAACCTAACATTTATGTCTTATTAAACCATTTCATACTGAAATATATTCATATAATTCCAACAAATAGAACTTTGTCAACTGCAACGCAACAACTATTGAGGAATTTAGAAGATGTTGGTTGTGATGTCCCAGCTTACAGATCAGTCTCGAGTCATTTTTAGCTGATCGGTATCAGCGAGAACAAAAGTCCGATCTTTTATTTCCATCCACAGTCGCACATGTTTAAATAATTTCCTCTATACGTGCAACTCTGTCAGCCAGTCCTTGACCCCGACTTGATTTGACAACACTCCCTGCGAGCCAACATGAAGCTGCTCGCCTTCTCTGGTAAATAATCAGAGGCTCCCCCTGGTGGTGCAACCAGGTGCTACAGCTGATCCACAATAGTTAAAGTGTGTGCTACCGAGGAGAAGCTACCGTGTGTCGGTAGATGTTAAATATATTGGAAATGCTCAACTTTTACATCCACAACAGCTTTTTGAAACTTTTTTTTTAGTTTTAATCTTGCATATTCAGAAAATTAAATCATTTCACTCTAAAACGATAAGAGCAGACTCAAACCAAAACTTTCCCTGACTCATGAGTAATTTTCCCAATTATTCTGACACCACACAAATGCGATACGAACCCCGCAACAAAAACTTTGTAGATTTGTAGATGAACTAAATTTTTCACAGCAAACTGAGCGATTCCACCTGCAGCCTTATTATTTAAAATAGTTCCAAATCATCACTAAAAGCAGATACCTGCAGCTTATTAAATTGTTTTATACTAGAATGATAAGAACAGACATAAACCAGATGTTTTTTGTCCAGATTTTCTGAGTTGTTTTGACTTCATTGTGAATTTTTCCAGTCAGGAGCTTATTTTATTTTATTTTTTATTTTTTTTACAAAATCATTATAAAAAGCTGATACATGCAGCATATTAAATGATTTCATACTGAAATTATTAAAAAGAAACCAAAACAAAAGCTGTAGCACTGACTTAAAGGTGCGTTCAGGTGAAAATTTCCAACTGGAAACTCATTTTTCTGATTATTCCGACGCCACATGGATGCAACATGAACCCCGCAGCAAAAAAATCACATCTGTAGATCAAATAAACGCTCCAAAGAGCATTTAGTGACTCCACCTACAGCTTTATTAGAATTAATGAATTCTAAATCAACATGAAAAGCCAGTTTTGCAGCACAATAAATCACTAAAGACAAATATAATAAAAAACACAATCAAAACCAAAAGTTGAAATGATAAAAACAGACTCCACCAAGACTTTCTGAGTCGTTCTCTGCAGTCGGAAATTAATTTTTCCAATGATTCCAAATGCGACATCAAAATGGCAGCAAATTTATTTGTAGGTAAACCAAATCATCCACAGAACAATTAGTGACTCTACTTGCAGCCTTGTTATCCTAAATTAATTCCTAATCAACACAAAAAGCACATTTTTGCAACGTATAAGATCGTTTTTTACTGAGCAGCGGAAACAAAAGTCGTAGCTCCGACTTAAAGGTGCGTTCAGGTGAATTTTTCCAGGCTGGAAACTCATTTTTCTGATTATTCTGACGCCACATGAATGCAACATGAGCACAGCAGTGAAATGTTGTGACTTTGGACGGTTTGGTTTTGTGCTCAGAGGGACGATGTGACTGCGATCCAGACTTCATCACTCAATCAAACGCTGCCAGGTTGTTAAAATCAGAGCTCACCGTCACGTTTCTGCTGTTTCACTTCTGCAGCAGCTCAGATACAAAACAAACAAACAAATCGACTCCCAGATGTTTTGTGATTAGTAGTTGTGAACTGTTGGGCACAATGAAGTCTGACGTTGGGGATTACCGCCGTTAGCCTCCATAATGCAGCGTTTAAAGCATTTAGCTGCTGTTTATTGGGAGCGGCTTAGAATAAGCTTTCTAAATCCTGGATCGCCCACATCATGAGCAACGAGTCGTACAGATACGGAGATTAGAGGCCACGTGTGCTAACTTGTGTCCTCAGACGTGTTGAAGGTTCGTCTTTGTCTTTTCTGCAGCGACGCTCTGAGCGGGACGCCGGCGGCTGCATGAGGAGGCCGAGCGACGGGACCCTGGTCCTCACGTAGACCCTCCAGACCCGCCACCGCCCCGACATGGTGAGGAACACGTTCTGAGTGTGCTGGACTAGTGTGAGTGCCACTGATAGCTTCCTAATTAGAGGCAACAAGAAGGAAAACATGTGGAGGTACAACACCACAAAACAGATATGTGATACATTTATATTTAGAAGCAGAGGTTGGAACTTGTTGTCCTAAAATTGTTTTAAAAAGTTCTGCAAAGTTCTGGTCTTGTTTTCAGGAGAAGTTGTTGAAGTTCTTCATAAAGGCAGGATAAAGTTTTCTAAATATGACGGTTCTAGTGTTTTTGGACCACATGTAGGTCCTTCATCGTGTCACATGGGAATGTTTTCAACATTTCTGTTTTCTTTTCTTGTCTTTTGGTATAAAGATTAAAATACAGCCAATAGCTTCTTTTTGTTGTTGTTTTTCTTTTTGTGTACACTCTGATAATTAACACAAAATTATGTTTTATGTTCTCCAGATATTTACAAAGTTATTTTATGGATATATTTGCAGTTATTTGCAGTGTCTATGCTATAATTTTCAAATTATATAATAGATATATTTCTGTTTTTTAGCTGTTTTTACAGTTTTTTTTCTTGTTAAATTATAGATTTACAGTTAAATAGCAGAAGAATGTTTTCACAATAAAGAATATATATATATATGCCTTGTTTATTTTATTTTATTTTATTTTTTTATTTTTTTTACAGTGGAAAACCTCTTAATTTACACAAAATGTTGTTTTGCAATTATGGGACCAAGTCTAGTTTATGAACTTCCAGCAGCTTTTCTGTTATTTTAGGGATTAAAAAAAAAAAAAAAAAAAAGATTAAGCCTGGTGATAAAGAACAAGTGGGATTTACCAACACTGATGACTTGTACGACCTTCGTACAAACGTTTGATAAATACAGATCTTTTTTTCGTACTTATGCACACTCTACATTTCATTCGTACGACAGAATCTAGAACCTTTTCTAGCTCTGATGCTAAATGAGGCCCCTGGTGATGAGCCTCCGAAGCCTTTTCTTTTTATTTTGTGGATTTATTTAACATTTGCAGTTTGTTCACTGTAGATTTGACCATTAAAAAGCAAAAAAACGGCCTGATTTTTAAAGTGTATTTACATTTTTCAGCATAGGTTCCCCATTAAATAGCAGATAATTCAGTAAACTCAGCTTGTGTCGCAGGTTTTAAGGCTAAAAGTTACAAACATAAACTCCAAACTGTTGCATCTTTAAGAATTTGTGGGTTTCTGAAGTCGCCTTTGACTCAAACGCTGTAAAACTTTGACAAAGATGTGATTATGGAATAAATTCAACCTTGGATGAGGCAGAACCTCTGGACATGTGTTCCAGCTCCAGGGCTGGTTCCACCCATGATGTGTCTTCTGGTAGATGAAGAAACACTGGTGAACATGTTAACAAGCTGAGCACTGGACTTCCACCGCCGGGCGTCTTTAAGCATTGATGCCGACGGTCCGGCAGCAGAAACAGCCCGAGGCGCTTGATGTGTGTGATTTAAATGAAGGAGCTGCTGAGTGGTTTTCTCACATTTAAATCTCGCCGGTCGGTGGAATAAACTCAGGTGAGGCCGGTTTGACGGCCGGCCATCTGCTGCTCCCAGTTTCTCTGAGTTGCGTCAGCAGGCTCACCGATCCTCACACTTATGTTTAAAGGATGTGATGAGAATCTGTAGCCGCGAAAAACGAACTGAAAGTAAAGGCAGGAAACTTCCAGGTGAAACTTTAGCTGCTTCCAAACTGCAATATAACAGAAACATTTCATTAATAGGGGTTTATTTTGAAGTCAGTAGTGCAACAAGCGTTTGTTTTTAAACCCCTGTCACCATTTCATTTAGTGTTTTTTCTCCTATTTTTCACTGCAATGTAGAAAAAGAAAAAGTTTAATTTATGTGCTTATTTTACAAAAATGTAAAAAATAGTTAAACAATCTGGAATGATCATGTCTTCAAGTGTCTACATGTTTTAACAGTGCTGGACTCCCCACGTCCAGCTGTAGAAACACTTATGTATTGATCCAGGAGGTTGGATTCTCCTCTCAGTCTCTCTCGTCGTCTTTGTTTGGTTTCTTTTGTGTCTCGTTTCTGTTGTTTTGTTTTGTTTTTTGTTCAGTTTGTCTTGTTTTTGTCTAGTTTTGTGTAGTTTTCTACATCTGAGTCGCTTTGTGTCTCATTTCTGTTGTTTTCTGTCTTATTTTTGACAAGTTGTCTGTTTCATGTCGTTTTTTTTTTTTTTAAATCTTGTTTGTTTGGATCTGTCTCGTTTCTGTCATTTGATCTGGTTTATGTTGTTTTGTGTCTCTTTCTGGTCAGTTCGTCTCCACATCCTACAGATATTCATCTGGCTCCATGTTTCCAGCCTCTCCAGACTTTTTCTCTGCTCTGCTCTCAAACTGGGATTTACAAGAAACATCACAGTGTTTAGCTTCGATTTGTTCAGTCACGCCTGACTGGTTAAAGGAAAATTAAAAACACAAAGATTCTCTCTGTTTGTGCAGTTTCTTGCGCTGATGAGTGGTTTGGTTCTGGTGATTTTTTAAAAGCTCAACAGGCCTTTCAGAGGGTCAAGCCTGTTACGAAGTGGATCAAACAAACATAAACAAGGTGGATATTTTAGAAGCAGCGTCTATGAAATGACAGAACTCACCACACAGCAGCCGTCTTTTATTTAAAATAAACAGTTTAAAATCTTCCCGTTGAAGCATTTCGACGTCTGATCTGAAGTCTCGAGTTGCAGCGGAATAAAGAGAAACTTCCTTTCGAGGTCGCTGCGTTTCAGCTCGTGGCCTTTCGTGAAGGTGAAAGTGTTTCCAAAAGTTCACAGAGAGGTCGGCGGCTGAACAACTGATGGTCTCGCCGTGAAGCCGCTCTTTGTCCTGCGAGTTTCCGTCGAGGTCGGTCGGACGCCGTCGCCGCTCACACTGCGTTTCTCTGAAGAACTCGACTTCACCAGACGACGTTTCTGCCTCCAGAGCAGCTGCTGGTTTTAATTTAAGCTTTCTGAGCAGATCTGAGGAGAAATGTTTAATATTTATTGTAAAGCTGAGTTTGTGAACGACCTTCTGAGGTGGTTATTAGAGAATCTTCAGCAGCTCCAGCATCACTGCTGATTATTTATAAGGCAGATGCACCAAAACTGATTCAAGCTGCTTCATGTCTTGTTTTTCTTTGCTGTTGGTTCATTTTTTACTGCAGTATAAAGTCCTGCAGCTCTAAGGCAGCCTCTACTTTGTGCAGTATGACAGTTAAAATGCCATAAACCATCGAAATTAAATAAAAGTAATATTTCTTTGATTATTTTTCAAAAATCAGGGTAAAAAAAAAAAAGCCTGAATCAATATTTTCAATATTTTCAAGATCCCACCGGTGTTAGTAACACTGGAAAACAAACGGTGGCTCCGCATGCAAAGATGTGAAACTATTTAGATTTTCAAACCTCCACAAACTTTACATTTTCCTCTCTGCTCTGCTCATCAGCTGTAGAAAGATGTTCCACCATCAGCTGGATGGATCTCCAACTACTTGCTCCTCTGTTCACTGTTTCAGAGCCGTGCTGCGTTTATTTATTGATCCACTAGGTTGGATTTTGCTCTGTCTAAATTTTCTCAAAATTATTTGAAACTTCGCCAAAGTAACATGAAATTGTCCAAAATGACCTGAGACACGTCTAAAATGACCTGAACCTAGTTCCAAATGACAAATGTTTAGGAGATTTTGGGTAATTTACGTAACTGTGGACGAGTTTTTTCTCACTTTGGACCATATTTAGTTCAGTTTTGAGCTGTAAAGGGCAGTTTTATGTATTTGTGTTCACTTTGTGTCTTGTTTTTGTTGTTGTGGGTCTCATTTGTGTCATTTTCTTTACTCTTTCTGGTTGCTTTGTGTCCACATTCGATAGATATTTAGCTCCACAAACATTTTCCTCTCTGCTCTGCTCACCAGCTGTAGAAAGATGTTCCACCATCAGCTGGATGTATCTCCAACAACTTCCTCCTCTGTCCACTGTTCCTGAGCCATGCCTAATTTCGGTCCCGTGATTGTTGGTCACAGCTGAGTTCATAACATCTTCATAGTTGCACCAAGAAGTGCAGAACGTTTTCGTTCAGGTTCTGGTTAAAGCAAACGGTTGATTTTTGGTGCATTTCTTTAAATGAGACATGCAAAATAAAGTGATTCTAAGCTGAGGTTTGGTTGTTTTCTAACAGAGTGGTGCGTCACAGATGAGCCGGTCGTTGATTGTGTGTGAAAGTGGAAAATCTAGACAATTCTTTTTCTGTTTTTACAGTTTCTGGATGTGATAAATAGTGTAATTTTTCCAAATAATATAACACGTCTTTCAAACCTCACCAGGCTGTTTTCAGTCACATCTGATCCTCCCCAGTGATTTCACACAAAGCAAAATGCTACAGGAATCACTTCTGATGTGCGTGTCAGATGTAAGTAAATGGCATCCTGCGACAAAATCCTGCAACGCAATTAATTAAAGCGCCGAATGTCATTATCTTGTAATTGCGGTGCGACGCCGAACTCCCAGCTGTCTTGTAGCTCGCAAATAAAAGGAACCAGGCCGAGACGCGGGCCGGGCCGGCGTCCAGGATCCTCCGCGAACGTCTTAATCTTTCATTTAGATCTCGTTAATGTTTGCTCGGGCGTCCACGCTGCCCCACACTTTGCCGCTACAGAGCCTCAGATGCCCCCCGGCGGCTCGGCGAGAGATTAGCTAGGTCGTGATGAATGACCCTCGTAGCTCCGGCGCGAGCCCCCGGGATTCGTGGCCATGAATTATTAAAGCGGCGTCATAAATAACTCACCGTAATGAGGGGTGCTTACTCGCTGCAGGCGGCGGTGGAGGGAGGAGAAGGGAACAGAGGGAGAGCAGAGGATGGGAGCAGGATGATGGAGGGAGCTGGAGGTTTGACCTTGGACTGGCGACGCTCGGCCGAAGCGCTCAGGCTTGTAAAAGCAGAGCGGAGGGAGAGTTTCCATCAGCGTGGACGAGATTCCTCCAAGTGTC